AGAACTGATTCGCCTTCACTGTTGATGTAAACCAACAAAATACGAACTCTATAGTATCCTAGACGACTATACCCGTTTAAAATGTGCGCACTCTCTGTATAAAAAAAATTCTGTTTTTGGATTTGGAGTATTATTTAAAGCCGCTTTTTACAAGACAAATTAGGCACCATCGTCAGCATTCCTTAGCACAATACTTCGCATGCACTAATCTGTTTAAATTTTATTTTTCCCTCGCACGATTGAGGAAGAGAATTCTCTTCCATGTTCTTCGGATTTTGTTTTTTCATGAAATCATTCATTTTAGAATTGTGAGAGATGGGTCGTTTTAGATTTATTTTTATACTTCGAAGTGTTTCGGTGTTGATAAATTTAATGTTCATATAGTACTTCGGTATTGTGCTTCTTGACTGGAGGTTGGTTCTGCTGTTTGCAGTGTTGTATTATATCGCCTTTCTTTGGTTATCTGTCGACTTGCTTGACTTGTTTTGTTTTTCTTTTGTTTTCATACGGGTTTTTTTATGTTTATATTTTTCTCATCCTGCTTGGACAAATTGTGGCACGCAGTATCAAATAAATAAACAAATAAAATAAAAGAAGTCGAACTTGGTCAAGTTTTGCAAAAAGGACGAATGCTCGCCTAAACAGTCGGCGAACTTCCACAAAATTTCACGACATTCCCAATTTTAAGATTAGGTCACTTGTCCACACATCACCGTGGAAATGATGGTGCTGAGGTACCGCCCTCTCCAACGTGTATTTGAAACGACTTTAATTTAGCAGGTTCGATATATTTCTCGAATTCCGCAAAGTGTGGGTTTCGATAGTATTTCGCGGGGCTCACAATTTCGTGATTGGGAGTGGCGTGGAATGATAGTTTTTACCATGGGGGGATGGTGCGATCAATATTTCTCAAGCTGCGAAATTCACAAACATTATGCTTCCGCGAAAATTAGGTAATTTGTAGTGGGGCGGCCCTGTCACTTTACGTCATTCCGACAGTTTGTTGGACGCTTTTGCTGCTGCCCTTGCTGTGACATTATTATCTCTTTAGACCCATAGGGTTCATGACTGCCATCTAAGATACGCTGGGAGGACCCTGTTCTAGCGTCTTCCAGCCAGATTTAAGAGTGGGCAATTCCGCTTCCTCGCTTGCTTTGGCAAGGACGGCTTAGACCTAAAAGCTTCTTCGAGGCAGTAGGGTGTTCGAGTGGTATGAAGGAAAGCAGCTCGTTGCTATGCTTGTTCCACTTTAAAGAGGTACTCCGGCGTTGTTTTCCTAGACTCAGATTTGCCTGAAAATTTGCTTAACACACCAACAAACATGGTTGAAATAATAACCCAAATATTGGGCCAAAGTATTTTTTTTTTCGCGAAGTTATTGCATTTGCAATTTTGATCCTCACCATTTTTCTCAAAGTCAAAGTCTCTACTGGCAACAATGAAAAAGCGACGTCGGGGGGAGGCAGGGGTTCACACTCTTTGGACTGTAGACTTTGTTCCCAATTGATTACAGGCACTTTCATGGTGTCAAATGAATGTTTTGGAAGCTCGCTCCAGCACTCGCGCAGCAGCACGAAACGAATGCTGGGCATAGTCCATTTTTAGACCGCCAGCTCGACCTGCAAGCCTGCCTTCCCCTGACGTCGCGGCACTTAAAAAGCGCGGGTATATTTGAATGCTGGTTTTGCCATCATTTTCACATGCCGATTTCGCAATAACTATTCTGATTTTTGCGATACTAAATAGCATACCGGAAAGGGTGATTTCTAAAACATAGTTAGTTGGACTAGCTAAAAAAATCAACGTAGCCCCTCCAAAGGGATACTACAATGAAATTTCGGCGCTTATTTCTTGGTCTGTACGTGTTCAAGGGAGCAGTATCACATCGGACAGCATAATCCCTTGCCGAAAAAGTCACGAAATGGAAATTTAAAACGAATTAAACGATTAGAAAACGGCACTTGGTGCATGTCGCTAAAACCTCGTTTGTAATGTCACTCTAGGAATGTTGAGAGGTACTGACAATGCCTGTCTCGCCTAAAACCATAGCTTCACTGGTGAACCACGGGTGCAAGTGTATGTGTAGCGTGCACGTGAACGCAGCTTCGGAAAGTTGTAATTGCAAGCACTTGCCCGCACGAGCAGAGACATGGCGGCGGCCAGATGCCCTGCTTGCAATCGTCTTGTAGATGTCAGCCTCGCCGCAGCTTTGCTCGTCCCGAGACAATCTACGTCACGATTGTGCCGGATGTCACGTGTTCTCCGCTGTCTGCTCTCCGAGTGCTTGCCAGGATGGGCCGTTTGTAACGAAAAATACAGCCATCAGGCTCAAAGTACAAACGTGCGATCGTCATTTGAGGATATTTTGGATCATATTCGAACTATTTCTAAACACAACGGGTATATTTAAAAATTTTGTTGAAGTATACGTTTGAATCCAGACGCAGCCGGTGGTATACGAGCTGATGGGTCCAATCAGACAGCATAATGGTGTTCGTGGTGTTTCTGTGCGTGTTCCATCATCGCTGAACCAATCACAAACAGAAAAGACCTAGTGACTTGCGCTTTTTACGCTGCTTGATCGGTTCAGCGTTGGCTGCGCCTAGTAAGTGCTGCGTTGATCGACGACAGCGTCAAGACCTTGGAGATGGCGTGACGTCAATGAAGATCACATGTCTCTGGAAAGGTTCCCTCAGTAGCGTGATTTGTTGAAATTGTAGGTGTTTGTTTTGATTTGCACTATTTCACAATTATGTATTTTCGCGCATCTCTATGGTGACAAGCTTTCTTTCTTTCTTTTTTTTTTTTTTTCTTCGTGGCCACCTTTCGACAAATGCTCGTCTGTGAATTATTATCCAGTTGCTTCAATCTGGCTTCTAACCTCTGCTGCATTCTCTTGAAGTTAAAATGAATCCTGTATTCTACCATTAGATACCTTGTATTCATCAGCTTACGCCCTTGCTCTTACACAGTAAAACCACGGTTGCGGGCTAGAGTTACACTGAATAGCGAGTTTTAGAATAAGGGGCCCCACAGCTTCGGGTGTCCCAAACAGCTAGGGGCATCGCAATGGGCATGGGCAGAAGTTCTGCGCATGCGCGCTGGGACGCCCCAAACTGTTTGGGGCACCCAAAGTTGTGGGGCCCCTTGTTCTAAAACTCGCTAATGAATGCCGATTGACAGAAGTATTTTCTCAATTTTTAAACAGCCGCCTCGGTGGCTCCGAGGCGAGAGCGCCGGTTTACGGATCCCCAGGTGGCGGGTTCGAATCCCGACCGAGGTGCCCGCAATGTGACGGAGGCTTATTGCGGAGAAGGCGCCGTGTAACCGAGCTTTCGGTTGCACGTCAAAAGATCCCAGGTGGTCGAAATTAATCCTCAGTCCTCCGCTGGGGCGTGCTAGATGCCCGTCGTAGGTTTGGCACGTAAAACCCCCAAATTTTTATTTTTTTCAATTTTTAAACAATATAGTCTGTCATTTAGTATGTACCGTTCAAACGAACGGACCCTAAACGTGGTCGTCTTCCGTGTTCGTACGTCGAGGACACGTGTTGGAAAATTGTATGACCATCTCGTGGCCCTAGTCGATTTCGATATGAACTGAAAGTGTTCCGGTCTGCGGTCATGTAATCGCTATCTATACACAGTGCGCGTTAAAGACCCCAACCACGGACAGAACAAGTAGTGCGGGGCGCCTCTCCCGGATGCCCAGCTAGAGACACCCTGGTCGCTGTTGTGCGTTGGCTGCAGGAGCACGCTAGAAGATCGCTAGACGCCGAAGTGCCACCGAGGGTTGAAAGCTCGCACTGGAAGCGGGACAGCTGGAAGACATCACCCTCTTTTTAACCTGTGTAGTACCTACCAGTTGTGCTGCACTGCTCAATTTGATTATCGCCAGCGTTGAACCAGTCTGTCCCGATGGCAATGTCCGATCGACCTCTCGTTGTGCAGATATTCACAACGTCCTTTTCATTCTTTTTTAAATCTTCCACCTGTTTACTTGTGATGTTGTAAGTATTAGAATTGCCTATGGAATAACACCGATGCGCTAAAAGCACCAATCTTCATACTCAGACACCAAAATCCAAAACTTTTTTTATTTGTGATTAAGCGATTGCTGTCAGACAGTGTTAGATCAGTTTTGACCCACTCGATAACAATATATTACCGGGCTGCATCTCCTGGTATCAATTTGATTGCTGCACCTGAGCTCGATTGACATGCTCCGGGCAAGAACGCAACTGAGTTTCAGCTAGTAGGCTAGTGGTGAGAGTCGCCATTGTGCAGAGGTATACAAATAGAATAGCTTACGATTGAATTACCTGGGAAAGATGAAAAGTTGAAGGTCGTCACGGTCTGGGACAATTTCTAATTTCAAGAAAGGTGTAGATTTTACAAGAGAGCCGCGAGACCGACGTGATACAACCCTTTCATCGCAAGCGAACCTGACGCAAAACCCAGGGGAGGTCGAATGGGAGACAGAAAATAAACGATGTAGTGAGAAATGAAACCTCAGCTGACAAGGTTTTGCTGAGATATCGTTGTTCTTGTACAACACTGTTTATATGATTTCTTTATTTTCATCGGGTACTAAGCACATGATACTAGATGCCTGTAGAAAAAGCTTTCACGAGGACAGCTCGACCGATGTCAGAGCCCCCGCAACGCGTTCCTGTTTTTTGTCGTATTTCTCTTTTTTTTTAGCTTAGTGCTATTCCATTTATATATCAATATATTTATTTCCTACCCGTATTTCAATGACCCAAAGAAAAGTATCTCAAGGTTAACCGCGACGTTGTTTTCCCGGTCAAGTTGCCACACGACAGCGTACAGACACACGGCTTCTCTGGACATTCTCGGGACGTCGCAACGGCCCACGAACGTCTTAAAGACGTCGTTCATAGGCCGTATGCTGTCCGAAAACACGTAGAATTTTTTCGCGGAACAGGTTCAACCCGCGACGCATAAAAAATAAACACCGAAATCGAAAAAGGAACTCACGTCACTTGCTCCAGGACGACGAAAGCGACAACCAGCGTCGCCAAGACTTCGAACCACGGTCCCACACATCGCCGCCGTCTTCCATAATTCCGCACACCACCACAACCGTCACCAACAACAACAGTCATCATCTAAAGTTCACGCACGAATTGAGATTCAGAACGACGTCCTTGCAGCTTTCGGCGTCGCTGGTCGACTAGGGACTGGGAGAAGACACCCGTGGAATTCCGTCCGCCGGTGACCCGACCCTAAGGGCGAGCATTTAGTATTGCAAATCGCGCGGACGGATACCGCATGAGCACGCCGATGTGTGGAAGGGTAGACGAACGTCGACGAACCAACTATACTTGAAGCGGCAGAAAACAGCGGCGATAGTAACCTGACGCGAGCGGGAATCGCGACTGCGAAGAGTGGTGTCCTCCTCGACCACGAGCTACAGGAATCTCCTCTTTTTTTCTTTCCCTTCCAGAACGAACGACATTATCGTGAGGAGGAAAGAAATAGAGATGAAGAGGGTGTGGGGAAAGAGTGAGTTGTCAGACTACTTTTATTCCGTTTTGTTTTTCTTTATCTGGGGAGCGTTCGCAATTTCTCTTCTTCTGTCGGTGATTTTTCGTTTTTGTTTTTAATCCGTCGTTGTGACGTTACAGGTGTGGAAGGGAAAAGCCCGCGAACGTGCGTGCTTACGTTCATTTTTGTTTTCCTCTTGCCGAGAGAAGCCATTTAATTTCATAACGACCCAACACCGCATCATCCTAATCTACCGTAGCCAGTTTCCGTAGCAGCGTGCCGGCGAACATGATCATGCGGCGCAATCGGGTGGAATCGAGTTTTGACCAATCACAAGCAACCAGTTCTCCTTCCCCACCTTCGGAGAACCAATCCTACACTCTAAGAAATGCCTGCGTGTCTACTTACCCGCAAAACACTCGAAGAGCCAATCTCCGAGATCTACGAAATCAGCTCACCGAATGATGAGGCGGAACATCCGTTTAGACCTGCGCTGTGGCATTACGCAATCCAAGGCGTCACGCTTGCATTGCGTAAGGCAACAGCGCAGACCTAATTTCGAGGTCTAAACAGATGTTCCGCCTCATCATTCGCTGAGCTGATTTCGTAGATCGCAGAGATTGGCTCTTCGAGTGTTTTGCGGGTGAGTAGACACGCAGGCGCTAATTCCGGATAGGTACCGTTCCCTCTTCGTTTGAAAGTCGAAACACAGAGTCGGGACTTCGTAAGCAAAAATTCAACGAGGATCTATAGCTATATGTTTCCATGCCTTTGTATCAGCAAGTTGAATTGGCCAATCAGCTGTCTCCTTTCCGATAGAGCGCGGTCGCGTGGCAAGCGGCGAACTACTGATTGGTTCACCCAGTCTGTAACCACGATAGAAAAAATAATTCAAGAAAGAACTTTAATTAATTATGTTTATACAACTTAAATTGGATTATTTTCTTGTAAATCATTGTAGCCATAAAATAGTCGTTTAATAAATATATGTATTTTTAAATTTGACTGATTGATTGATCAATCCGTTTGATAACTAAAACAATGCGGAAGAAAGAATTACTGTAAATTTAAGGTACAGTTTAATTAAAACAACTCTTATATTGAATACACACCGCCATAGTAGAAAAAAAAACAGTTTGATATTTTTAGATTTGTGAAAAGGCTTTATCTTCTCTTCTCCGTTCTGAAAAACAATTGGGTTGTGTCTGTGTTTATACAGCCTAGAACTTGGTCTGCCTCACAGGGGCGACGAGTCTCCCAGCTGTAGATGAGAAATTTAGCCAGTGCGGTACAGCCGCTAGCCTGGTGTCTTTTACGTGCATCAAGCAGTAGTGATACACGACCGCACGCCGGTACGATGCTCATCCAGATCGAAACGGGCAGGGGTGGGGCTCGAACCCAGGATCCCTGGGTTCTGCAGCGCGAGCTTTCGCTCCACGTGCTCCGAGCTGGTGTGCGCTAGACCACTCGGCCACCGATCCCCCCTTTCTCCGTTCTGATTTCCTTGCAATAAAGCGTTAGTTTTCTCTCTTTTTTTTTCTATTATTATTGTTTGATTGCAGTATGACGTGACGTAACTGACTGACAAAATGAATGGTAGAAAGGAAGCTCAACGTTCCGATTTGCTCAGAAGACTGCTGCTTTGTGCGCGTGTTCAAACGGATATAACTCTTTCTTGCTTGATGATTTATTGATTTCAATACGAAGCAACTACACACAGAGACCATCAAATGCTAAGCCAACGGTAATATAAAAAAAAAATCGGGATTACTTTTGCGGGAAAATTTTGATTTCAATCATCATTGTAAAAGCCGGTTTGATTTAAATCACGATTTAAATAATGATTTAACTCTTTTTTTTATTCTCTACCCTGGCTAAAACGGCAATATTATTGATAACGCAGCGAGCATGAAATGCACGGGGGCTTGCCATGCACTGCGTTAGGTTGCCTATCCATTCTTTTTATTATTTGGTTTCAAAGTAATCGGTGTTTTTCGGTGTTTACCGAAAACCACATGGAAGCGCAAGCCGAATCGTCTTTCGACGGATCGGTGGAAAGAAATAAGCCGCAAATATCTTATCGATCCCTTGGCGTTTACTTGGATCATTATATTACCGAAACCGTCGTGATTATTGATGCGTGAGTTGTTCGAAATGTCGACACCGGTCAACGCTACCTTTTCGCATATACGTGATTAGAAAGACTTACTGAGCAGTCAAGATGTGGCTCGTAACGTTATAGCAGGGAACATTTACTCCTCGGAGAAATGTGTTGAATTAGGAGCACCGCAGTGAACTGCGCTGGGCCCGCTACTATGTTTAATTTACGTAAACGACCTCCGAGACCTCCTTAACTCAACTGTTAGGCTATGCATGACTTGCATTGGGATCACGTCAGCCGCCATTGCTCCGCACCATGTTCCTGTGCCCGTGCGTTATGCAGCATACATTTGGTATCATCGAATCTGTTCTTCTCCGCAAGGCTTGGCAAGAAAAGAGAAAACCATTTTTGCGAAATGTATGCTGCGGAATTGGTACGGGCACATGAGCATGGCGCGGAGCAATGGCGGCTGTAATGGTGCCATATGACGTTGCATGCGATGTGAGTACTAGAAAATTAACATGTGTATCCGACTGTGCCCTTCGGCAAACTGTTTCATTCTGAATCGTGGTATCCGAAATGGTAGATGCAAATCAACGTTAGCAAAACCAAATTCCTTAACTTAAATACAAAAAGCGCCACCCAGATTGATTATTCACATTCTAATATACAAATTGAAGTTTCGCTACAACGTGCAGACACCTCGGCATCAACTGTAATTCCATCTTGTTATAAGAACCTCAAATCAGTCGCCTCTCAACGAGGTCTAACCGGAATTTTCAAAATTTAGGGCGACACCGGTTGTTGATTTGTATAAACAAGCCGTATTCAGAAAAATATAAAAGGAGCAGTTACCATAATAATATATCATTTCTTAATATGTTATCGCTTGTTCCAAATCCCGTGTTTTACCATATGCGTTGCACAGAGTATTGGAGAGTGCCGCATCCGAGAACTAATTACGGATTGCAAATGCTTCGGCATAACGACTCATCAAACGGAATATTTGCATAGAAAATATGTCAAAAAATCAAATAAAACAAGAACATATTCTAGAAAATTAGAGTGAAAATCCTTGATTTTATCGATTCCATTGTTTATTATACGTATGTATATCTCATTTTTGCGTTCTATTTGTTATTCTCTTCATGCTATATGATTTTTACTTGTGTGTGGGTTGTGAATTCTGTCAAAGTCTGTATGGGAGCCAGGAACGTTTCAAGCTACATCGAGTACCTCTTCGTCATGTTTCCCTCTCCGTGAATCGGAGTAAATAAAATTGAATTGAAGTTCAAGATTTCTAAAGCGTCATCTCCATCAGGTCATTCAGCAAACTAAACACATCGCATATAGTACTCTCATCCTTCATCAGCTCGAATACGCCTCACTTGTCTGGAACCTCCATCAGTTATAGCAAAGTTGGAGACGGGTTAAGAGTTCAAGGGAAACTCCTCCCACCCCTTTTTACTTCAGCAGAGCGAACGCCGGAAAGGATGTCGCCTCCTCTCCAGCGTTCTCTCTGCTCAAGTGGAAAGGGGTGGGCAGAGCATCCCCTCAACTCGTTGGCATGTTACCGAGTATAAAGAGAAAACTAGAAGCTGTCCTAAACCGGGCCACTAGCTCCATCCTTCGTAATTACGAGCCTATATACTATCACAGCACTGAATGTTGAACTAACCCTCCCTCTCTTGAAACACCGAAGAAATATATATATATATATATATATATATATATATATATATATATATATATATATATCACGTGTCAGACACCTATACGCATAACATATTACTACTTTCCTTTAAAAAAAAATTCATACTGCCCGTCCTTTTTTATATCTCCCCTCGCACATATCAGTCAGTCAGAGCTCAACTGATTATGCCTAATTCAAGTACGTATTATCTTTTAGAGTTTTCTGGCATCTCTGACTGGAATCGTACATTTACCCGAGCACTTTGGTCGCATGCCACAACTTTGTACTTTCCAATCTGACATTTCCACTGTCCACGCCATTTAACATCACGTTTGTCCGTGGTAAAAGTATTTATTCTATATTATCTCAATTTATTGTTCAATCCCCCCCTCCCTGCATGTAAAGGCATTTAGGGACAAATTAATTAAATTGTATTAAATTAAACTTACACGGCTGCAAATTTGTGTCGCTTTTGTGCGCCGCTGCCTGCTTATTTTACTCGTTTTTCTTTCACACGTTTGAGACGCGCCCTAGAATAAACACCGATAAACGCCGATCTTTTCTGATTTCTTCGTGATGCGCCCCGTAAATTTTGGCAATACGTTATATCCCATCCTCAAAAAAAAAAAAAAAAAAAAAAAAAAAAAAAACAGCACGTGGGTGAAGAGAGGGCCTATCCAGGAGACTGCTGAATATTATAATTCATTTTTTTTTCGTCTGTGTTTACGCGTGACAACGGAATTTTGCAATCCTTTAATGGTTTCCCAAATAACCCTCCCATTGAAGGTTTGGAAATAAGTGAGCAAGGCGTCTGTAAACTCTGACTGATATAATAATGACACGAAGAAAAATTCAGGGCCAGAAAAAATTCCCAATGAGTTTTTAAAACGTTATGCAGAGTGGGTATCTAAATATCTTACCATAATATTTCAGTCATCTCTAAATGCCGGCACTTTTCTCAGCGCACGTAAACGAGC